TTTTTGTAGATTAACCCAGGTAGAACCTTTTTGCCTAGGGGGATCCAGCTCATAGTTTCCGGGTAGAAGTACTCTTCGCCCAGACTTGCTTTTCGTAGCTTAAATCAGGTAGAACCTTTTCACCTAGGGGATCCAACTCATATTTTCGGGTATAAGTACTCTTCGCCTAGGTTTGCTTAATGTAGCTTAATCCGGGTAGAAGTACACTTTATCCAGGCTTGCTTTTCATAGTTTAACCTAAGTAGAACCTGTTCGCCAAAGGGATTCAGCGTTTTTTTCCAGTAATACAGGGCGCCAACCCCTGGTTACATTTCCTTTTCAGTAATACAGGGCGTTAACCCCTGGTTACATTTTCCTTTTCAGTAATACAGGGCACCATCCCCTGGTTACATTTCATTTTCAGTAATACATGGCTCCAACCCCTGGTTACATTTTCTTTTCAGTAATACAGGGCGTCAACCCCTGGTTACATTTCCTTTTCAGTAATAAAGGGCGCCAACCCCTGGTTACATTTTCTTTTCAGTAATACAGGGCGTCAACCCCTGGTTACATTTCCTTTTCAGTAATAAAGGGCGCCAACCCCTGGTTACATTTTCTTTTCAGTAATACAGGGCGTCAACCCCTGGTTACATTTCCTTTTCAGTAATAAAGGGCGCCAACCCCTGGTTACATTTTCTTTTCAGTAATACAGGGCGTCAACCCCTGGTTACATTTCCTTTTCAGTAATACAAGGCGCCAACCCCTGGTTATATTTTCTTTTTAGTAATACAGGGCGCCAACCCCTGGTTACATTTTCCTTTTCATTAATACAGAGAGCCAACCCCTGGTTACATTTCTTTTTCAGTAATACAGGGTGCCAACCCCTGGTTATAAAACTTTTTCAGTAATACAGGGCGTCATCCCCTGATTACATTTCCTTACCAGTATAGGGTACACCAATCCCAGATCTCCTTACCAGTATAGGGTACACCAATCCTTATCTTTGTTCTCCAACATAGGGTACACTACTCCCTACTTGATTTGATTTTAAATGCAGGATACACCACTTCATGATATCATTGCCAATATAGGGTATCCCATTCCCTCGCCACATTTTCTCAATATAAGGTACACCAATCCTTAGTTGAGATATTCTTTTGGAACAATTAAAAAAATCATCATGACCTTTTCAGGGTACACCATTCCCGTTTTTTTTTTATTGCTTTCAATANTACATTTTCTTTTCAGTAATACAGGGTGCCAACCCCTGGTTATATTTCCTTTTCAGTAATACAGAGCACCAACCCCTGGTTACATTTTCCTTTTCATTAATACAGAGAGCCAACCCCTGGTTACATTTCTTTTTCAGTAATACAGGGTGCCAACCCCTGGTTATAAAACTTTTTCAGTAATACAGGGCGTCATCCCCTGATTACATTTCCTTACCAGTATAGGGTACACCAATCCCAGATCTCCTTACCAGTATAGGGTACACCAATCCTTATCTTTGTTCTCCAACATAGGGTACACTACTCCCTACTTGATTTGATTTTAAATGCAGGATACACCACTTCATGATATCATTGCCAATATAGGGTATCCCATTCCCTCGCCACATTTTCTCAATATAAGGTACACCAATCCTTAGTTGAGATATTCTTTTGGAACAATTAAAAAAATCATCATGACCTTTTCAGGGTACACCATTCCCGTTTTTTTTTTATTGCTTTCAATAAAAAAAGTAGTTTAGAATTTTGTTACAATAACTCACGAAATTTTTCTAGTGAAAACTGGGGCAGAAAAATTTTGTTCGTTTGTTTGTTGTGATGTCTGGGCGGGTTTTACCTCGAGGTACAGGATTCTAGATGAACAAAAAAAGTCGTAGAAGAATGAACTAGCACCTGCAGCTTAGCAAGCATCAAGGTTCATATCAGAGTCTGCGTGAAGAACCATTCAAGATCAAGTTTTAGAAGATTTATAGATAGGAATCTTGTAACTCATAGTTGATAGGTTTGTTTAGTTTCTTTCAGGAACTTCTTGATAAAGGGTTTATTAGGCCTAGTGTGTCGCCTTGTGGTGCACCGGTTCTGTTTGTGAAAAAGAAAAATGGTACTATACGGATGTGTATCGACTATAGGTAGTTGAACAATGTTACAATCAAGAATAAGTATCTTTACCGCGTATTGATGATTTTCTTGACCAGTTTCATGGAGCGAGGGTATTCTCCAAAATTGATTTGATATCCGAGTGTCACCAGTTAAAAATTCGGAACTTGGATATTCTATAGACGATATTTAGGACCCGCTATGGTCACTACGAATTTCTCGTGATGTCTTTGGACTGACAAATGCCCCAGCAGTATTTATGCACTTGATGAATAGTGTATTTTAGCCATATCTTGATTCATTCGTCGTATTATTTATTGATGATATCTTAGTGTACTCACGTAGCCAGGAAGAGCATGCACAACACTTGGGTATTGTATTACAGAGGCTGAATTAAAACGGAAAAGGGTCAGAAATGCCCTTAACATATTAGAAATGGCTCAAAAATGTCATGCTTCCACCTATGGGTTCAAATTTGCCCTTAATGTTAAAATGTCCATCAATGCCATGTCATCTTTCCGTTAAGAGAGGGGCATTTTTAAGCCTAAAAATAACATTAAGAGCAAATTTGAACCCATAGGTGGAAGGAGAGCATTTTTGAGCCATTTCTAATATGTTAAAGGCATTTCTGACTCTTTTCCGTATTTTAATTGAGCTCGAGAACTCCAATGTAAGTAATTAGGTGACACTAAATCTGATGGGTCGAGAACTCCAATAATTTGTTTTTATTTTTAAATAAAAGTACTTCATTACTTTATTCACAATATTAAGGTTTTAGATTGAATGCTCAAATTTTTTCACATAGAAACATAACATTTAGTAATATATGAGCTCATTTCTCATAAGTTTATATTAATGTTCAAGTGTAAATTTGAAATTTACTTACACGTAGATGCTGAGTTATATAGTAATTACTCAAGACAAATACAACTCAACTAGTTATTAATCACTCCTGTTGATTCTCATGTTTCTTATATGATTGCTATCGGCAACCATGAAAAGATAATATTTATTTTTAAGCTTACTCGCATCTTCTATTTAACATCTAGTAATTAATCGAGCAGACGCATATATATACCTAACTTGATATTTTTTTTCAAAAGTTAAGAACAAATGCAGGTGTATTTGATGTGATAAAAACTATATTTAATTAGGAAAATACTTATCAGAATATAATAAGTCATTATTGTATTAGCACTCTTAACACGTGCTTATGATTAGAGACAAGATTTTTTAAAGAAATAACTCTAGTTAGTGACTTTGTGACTCTTGCATTGCAATTTGCATTCATCAAGTTGCTGATGTTTAATTGTCACAAAATATTTATTAAACAAAATAAACTTTCTTATGTTTGGGCATAAGTTATTTTCCTTTAAAATTATCTTCTAAATTTTAAAATAATGTTATTTGAACTTCATATTTATCCTTATGACAATGTTTTAATTGTATCCACACAAATATTATTGCAGGTTTAAGATAATAAATTTTAAAAAGATTATTTTATGTTTAAACTCTGTACTAAATTAACTATATTATATAAATTAAAAAGGACAAAGTATAATATAAATAAAAGAGAAATAGGTAAAGAAATAAAAAATCAATCTTTTCAGACCAATCAGGCAAAGAAAGAGACAAATTAAATAGTAAGAGGATGGCTACGGGGAATCCTTAATCAAGGCAAGACATGCACAGCTGTGATATGCAATGACGTACGCATATTTGTTTTTTTAAGCGGTGTAAATAGGTAAATAAAGAAGTGAACAAATAAATAACTATTATAAATTTAAAAGGATAAAGTATAATATAAATAAAAGAGAAGTGGGTAAAGAAATAAAAAATCACTCTTTTCAGACCAATCAGGCAAAGAAAGCGACAAATTAAATAGTACGAGGATGACCAATCAGACAAGGCAAGACATGCACAACTGTGATATGCAGGGGTGTAAGCATAATTGTTTTAAGGGGTGTCACATTTTTTTAATAGGTAAACAAAGAAGTGAACAAATGAATAACTATTATAAATTAAATAGGATAAAATATAATATAAATAAATAAAAGAGAAATAGGTAAAAAAAATAAAAAATCAATCTTTTCAGACCAATCAGGCAAAGAAAGCGACAAATTAAATAGTACGAGGATGACTAAGGGGAATCCTTAATCAAGGTAGGACATGCACAAGTGTGATCACCAAAATTATTTTTTATAAGCGGTGTCACAATTTTAAATAGATAAACAAAAAAGTGAGAATAACTATTATAATGATATCATATTTTAAAAAAATACAAAATTCAGAATATCACTATAACTCTCTACAACGAGTTTTTGTTTTTTGAGATGTATAAATGATAGTCTTATTAGAAATAGTACTAAATATGTCTTTTTCTTAAGAATGATTTGATTATATTTATTGTCAACTTGACAAACAAATGCAATTTAGCTCAAGTGGATTTTGTTAGTCCTTAATTTTGTTAGAGGTATCAATTTATATGAATTCATTTGGTCTTACTTATTGTCTATATATGTATATTTAATAAATTTTTTCGCTGAAGCGGTATCACGCGACATCACTTCCCATAAGGTGGCTCCGACCCTAAAGCTATGCACCATGTGGTTAAAATCTAACTGCCCATCTAACATTTACCATATTAGTAATTTATTATTGTACAATAACAACAACAAGAAATAAAGTATAATCCTACAAATGAGTTTGTTATTGTTGTTGTACAATAATAAATTACTACTAATATACTTAAGTGTAAATATTGGGTGGACAGTTAAACTTTTACACGGTGCATGGCTGTCCCCCCTTAAATTAAGGTGAAATTATTTATTAATTAATTATGGTTTTATGATAGGACTATATATATGTCACATATGTCAAGTGTTCAAGATTTGAGTAAGGATAAGTTATAAGCACTCCGTAAAGCACGTGATGCCCCTTTAGCCCACCTGAACTTTTCAATATTACTCCCATCTTTTTGTTCTCAAACTGCTCATGTCTACTATATATATGTATGCCAAGTTAATTGGAAGTAAAGGAAAATAGTTGGAAGAGATACATACAACATGTTTCCAATCATAATTCTGATCAGCTTTTCATTTACTTTCCTCTTTGCTAGTGTTACTAGTGGAGCAGGAGGAGTTACAAATCTTTCCACCTGTTTAATCAACCACAATGTCCATAACTTCTCTATTTACCCCACAAAGAATGATCAAAGTAGTAGTAATTACTTTAACTTGCTCGATTTTTCCCTTCAGAATCTTCGATTTGCTGCATCTTACATGCCGAAACCAACGGTCATTATCCTACCAAACAGCAAAGAGGAGCTCGTGAGTACCATTCTTTGTTGCAGACAAACATCTTATGAAATCAGAGTAAGGTGCGGAGGACACAGTTACGAGGGAACTTCTTACGTTTCCTTTGACGGTTCCCCTTTCGTGATCGTTGACTTGATGAAATTAGACGACGTTTCAGTAGATTTGGATTCCGAAACAGCTTGGGCTCAGGGCGGCGCAACAATTGGCCAAATTTATTACGCCATTTCCAGGGTTAGTGACGTTCATGCATTTTCAGCAGGTTCGGGACCAACAGTAGGATCTGGAGGTCATATTTCAGGTGGCGGCTTTGGACTAATGTCCAGAAAATTCGGACTCGCTGCTGATAGTGTCGTTGATGCTCTTCTAATTGATGCTGAAGGACGGTTATTAGACCGGAAAGCCATGGGAGAAGACGTATTTTGGGCAATCAGAGGTGGCGGCGGTGGAAATTGGGGAATTATTTATGCCTGGAAAATTCGATTACTCAAAGTGCCTAAAATCGTAACAACTTGTATGATCTATAGGCCTGGATCCAAACAATACGTGGCTCAACTACTTCAGAAATGGCAAATAGTTACTCCAAATTTGGCCGATGATTTTACTCTAGGAGTACTCATGAGACCTATAGATCTGCGGGCGGATATGAATTACGGAAATACTACTCCTATTGAAACATTTCCCCAATTCAATGCACTTTATTTGGGTCCAAAAACTGAAGCGGTTTCCATATTAAATGAGGCATTTCCAGAGCTGGACGCTAAGAATGATGACGCCAAAGAAATGACTTGGATTGAGTCAGCACTTTTCTTTTCCGAATTAGATAACGTATTCGGGAACTCCTCTGACGATATCTCCCGTTTGAAAGAACGCTACATGGACGCAAAAACTTTCTTCAAAGGCAAATCAGATTTTGTGAAGACTCCATTTTCAATGGACGCGATGATGACAGCTCTTGTTGAACTCGAGAAAAACCCCAAGTCATTCCTTGTCTTCGATCCTTATGGCGGAGTCATGGACAAGATTAGTGATCAAGCTATTGCTTTCCCTCATCGAAAGGGTAACCTTTTCGCGGTTCAATATTATGCATTTTGGAACGAAGAGGACGATGCCAAGAGCAACGAGTACATAGAGTGGACAAGGGGATTTTACAATAAAATGGCGCCTTTTGTTTCAAGCTCGCCAAGGGGAGCTTATATCAACTACTTGGATATGGATCTTGGAGTGAATATGGACGACGACTACTTACTGCGAAATGCTAGTAGTCGTAGTTCTTCTTCCTCTGTTGATGCTGTGGAGAGAGCTAGAGCGTGGGGTGAAATGTATTTCTTGCATAACTATGATAGGTTGGTTAAAGCTAAGACACAAATTGATCCACTAAATGTTTTTCGACATGAACAGAGTATACCTCCTATGCTTGGTTCAACGCAAGAGCACAGTAGTGAATGAGATTTCAATTGTACTACTACCAGGGGCAGATGCACAAGGTGGGGGCGGTGTCATCTGACGTCGCTTCGCCGGGAAAAATAATAAATATTTATACTAATATTCTGTAAAAATGAAGCAATATATAATAATGGCACCGCTTATTCCTAGAAAATAGTACTTCTTGGTCCACTGGTCAAACTCATATTTGGGCTTATAAAGGCCGTAGGCTCAAGGCTCGACCTAGACATTGTATTTCTTGAACATATTTAAGCGAGCAATTTTTGTTAAAACCTTTGAGGCTAAAGAGAATTGAACCTACACTTCCCTTGGCAATAATAGAAATGAAGATGTTAAGTTGGATGTGGGAGCATACCAGGAAAGACAAGATCAAGAATGAAGTTATTAGGGACCAGGTGAGTGTCGCTCTTGTGGAACAAGTTGCGAGAATTGAGGCTGATATGGTTCGGACATGTAAAGAGAAGATGCTCCGATGTCCCGGTCACGAGGTGTGAGAGGTTGACCGTGACGGGTCAGAGGAGGGGTAGAGGGAGGCCTAAAAAATATAAGGGAGGAGTGATTTGGAAGGATATGACACTACCTCAGCTTACCGAGGACATGACCCTCGACATAAAAGTGTGAATGTCTAGAATTAAGGTTGTGGGTTGACATTTAGTTGATGGTAGGTTAGAAACTCGTGTTTTAGCTGCATTTTACACTCTAATTACTGCATTTTACTTGTGTTTGAGCTTAAACGATGGTGATTTGCATTTATTACGTGTTTTATGCCTCGAAGGAATTGATTTTGAGTTAAAAAGTTAATTTGGAGCTGAATCAAACAAATTAGAGCTTTGAAGTCTGAGTAAAAGCCCAAGGAATTAAACTGGAATCGCGTTCGGGGGTCGATGACCAAGTATGGATAACAAAAAATTAATAAAAAGGAACACTCTAAGAAAAAAGCACTATCGCTCCGCATGGGGCGCGGCGAGGCGCGACATTCAATTGGGAAAAGCTTGTCAGAATCTGTTCTCTGAAGATGCCCACTAACGCGGCGCGTGGCATGCCGCGAGGCGCTCCGCACCCGTGTATTTTCCTTAGAGTAATTTTTCAATTCGACTAGGAAAGGGTAGTTCCGTCTGGACCCGCTTCTACATGGTATAAATACACCAAAACATGATTTGAGGTGACTTTTGACCTACGAAAGATTTGAGAAGCAACTAAGGCAAGATGACACAAGAATTCATCAAGATTTCAACCTATAATCGGTGCAATACGGGAGTTTGTATCGAATTATTAGCATTGATGTTTTCAATGTCTTTAAACCTTCTTGAGATGAATTTTTCCATTGACATGGAGTAGTTTTTCTTTGGGTGTTAACAGACATGGTGTATTAATAATTCGATTAGGGATTCGATTCTAAACAATTGGTTGACTTAATTGATGGAGTTTGAATTATATTGTGAAGTTGTTCAGTATTTGGCTTAATCGAAAGAGGAGTTTTATATCGAATTTCTTTACTTCTTATGCTCTAGTTTAAATTTGTGATTCAACTAGGTAATCGAAAGAGCCTCTTGAATTATTAATTGAACCAAAAAATAGGGTAATATTCGTGAGAAGTTACTCTTTGAACAGAAAGCATCATTATGTTCATTACAATTATTCATCGTGCTTCAATTGGATTATTTCTAGAAATTAAAGTTTAATCGAAAGAGGAACCTTAACATCGAGTGTAATTTAATTATCTGGTGAATTCGTGAGAATCGACAGTATTATAGAGTGAACTAATTTAAGAATTGGACCCCGAATCAATTATCTTGCACCTGTCTAGTCATTTATCTATTTCTCTCACTTATATTTTGTGTTGCTCAACTTTTGTCCTCTGTGATCAATTGATAATTGCTTAAATTTTAGTAGCTAATTATAGTTGATAATCATTCAAATCAAGTGTTAATTTTTCTGGATAGTATTTAACTAAAGATTATTCAAACACTGTTTGAATTCAATCTTTGTGGAGATAATAATTTATTATACTATCTTTGATTAGCGAGTATTAATTATGTGTTGTGTTTTGCCCTCGTCAAACTATGTGTCAAGAATTTCTCCTTGTCCTATTAGTAGTATTAGCACAAGTCTTGTATTTTTCTATTCCTAGTTCCTTATTACTACACGGTGCGTCACTATTACCAATAGTTGATACTAGTCTTGTATTCTCGTATTCCTCGATTTTGGTTATTACATGTTTCGCCATTTGCTGCCACTGCCTTTTACCTTGTTGTTGCTATTGTCACGCCTCCTTTTTTCCGAGGATTGTGAAAAGAAAAGAGTTTTTTCAATTAAAGTGACATTATTTAAAATAGAATTGTATTTTAATTAATTTTAAAGAGTCGCCACTTGAAATTATTTAATTACGATATTCCAAGCCAGTGGTTTTATTTAATCCCTATTCAAGGAAGTTTTGACTCTGAATTACGGTCTGTGAAACACAAAAGATCGGGTAAAAAATTCTGTTAACCCAGGAGAAGGTGTGAAGCGCTCCCGAGTTCCGTGATTTTAGCACGGTCAATTAACAATTTATACTTGGCTTGATTAGTCTGAAGATTTATATGTTTTAAGGGTTTTTACGTATTTTTATCTTTTACAGCTTTTAGATTACATGGTTATTATAATTATGGAATTATCTTTGAAACGAATCACATGTGTGTATTTGTTTAATTTGGTATGTCAAAGTCACGTCATGTGTACGTGTACACAACTAATAACACTTTATTATTGTTAAGATTGATTCGCCTAAAGTTGCGCGAACGCATACCTTGATTTTAATTTTGGGAGTCATAATTATGTCATACGAACGTATACATAATCACGATGATTTGATTAATTAAGAGTACGCCTAAAGCATTCTAACGCATTTATGAGTTATTTTCTAAGTTTGAGATTATTGTGAGGCATGAGAATTATGGAAGTAAAATTGTGGAAAAATATAGATTTAATCACTAAAAATTATTTACAACTTAAAAGTTCTTACTATTCTATCTATTTACCAAGGAAAGTTTACCTCATATAGCAAAGTTTTACACCCTATTTATTATAAATAAAAATTCTTTTAAAATATTATTTACTATAGCTCCCTTTTGCTTTTTATAGCAAAATATGTATTTATGGTCACTTCCTACCGTTAAGCCATTAAATACGCTATCTAATATTTCTCTCTCATTCTTTTAGTTTATTCTCTCCCAAAATCACCGTATCTTATTTCTCTCTGCACGATCTCTCTCTCACAGCGCCATTGTCTTCCCCATTGTTGAACCACGATTCTCCTTTATTTGCAGTTCTCTCTCTAGATTGTTCTCAAACTCTTGATCTCGATTTGCTGGATTTCATCTCTGTTAACATGAGTTTCAAAATGTCTTGATCAAAGTTTTCTGATATGAGTTGTATCTTTTCCCAAAGTGGAGCTGACATGGTCAGTTCATAGCTGAATTGATTTTGAATGTTGACATGGAAGAGGAAAGGACAGAGGAGAGGGTGGCAACGGCTAATGAGATTAGGATTAGGTTTGGGGAAATGGGTTAAACCATTCACATATAATAATGGAATTGTATTTGTAGGTTCATCAGCAACCATTGAAGCCCAAATGAGATCAAAAATGCGCAATGACCTTAATTGTAGATGTATTTATATGTATTCGGGTCTGCATATATTGATTTTTAGTTTGTACAGTGGGTTTCTCTTCTTGTATTTAGATGTATTCGATAAGGCATAGACTGATTTTTAGTTTGTACAGTAATTTTTGATTGTTGTATTTATATGTATTTGAGTTCATACAATAACATTTTTAAATACATTGTTAGTTCTATCATTTTGATGTTATTCATCAATTAGTTATGCATTCAATCTAACTGTATTCATCTGTATTTTTAACCTAATTATATCCATCTGTATTTAAAACGACAATACAATGAAATACAGTAAAAATACTCTCAATACAAATAGAAAATTAATGAATACAACCAATGAAATATACTCAATAAAGCAGTAATACCATATATTAGGAATAAATAAAATACTGTAAATACAAAAATAAACTTGAATACAACCAATGAAATATACTCAATAAAGCAGTAATACCATATATTAGGAATAAATAAAATACTGTAAATACAAAAATAAACTTGAATACATTGAACACAACTGTTAGATACAGCAGAATACAAGCACTAGGTTTATTATGAAATATACATGCAATAGGTTACTATTACAGGTTANNTTTTTTTTTTTTTTTTTTTTTTTTATGTTTAGCGTCTGATAAATCTTCTCATTAATTGGATTGACAATGTTGTGTGTTATAATTGATTTAGATAAGTTATATTAGGAGTGTATCCCGTTAAATTAGTAGCTTTCCGTTATTAAACAACTGAAGAGACCTATTATTACGTTGTATTCATGAATACATGTGAATTCAACGGCTGACAGCTGGACTGCCCTACTTTTTAGCCGATTTTTGCTACTGTATTCATGAATACAGTAGCTCGAATACACCGAATATATTACCATAACAACTGAAAGGTAGCTACGGAAAGTAATTATGTATATGATAGTTATAAAAAGATAATAGCCACTAAACAATAGTCATTTCTGAAAATTTCTCATTTACAAAATTAGGCTCAACTGATCATTTATTAACGTTGGCCCAATTGTCCCTAATATGAAACATCGTTTTAAAGCCCAAATTTTCAAAGTAATGTCAAACCCAACTCTAACTCTTTCTTAAAAGGTGATTTGGCATGACATAACAATTAGGTCCAACAATTGGCATAAAAAAATAAACGTTTTAGGATTTGGAATATAATAGCCTAAAGTTATTCTCTCTCTTCTAATGGTTCATCCTAAGAATAAGCCCCATCAAAATTATTTTTCATAAAAATAGCAAAAAATATTTAAAACCCCATCTCTCTCTTCTCTCATAGCAACCATCATCCTAGAAATTAGGTTCTATTTCCTTCAGTAGTATCCGAAAAACTCCCAAATATTTTTTAAAAGTATATTAAAATTTTATTTTCCTTCTTTGTGTAACATATTTCAGATTGAAAACTCAGGTTCAAGACGACTCCACATATGTATCCCCTATTGTATCCCGTGTATATCTCTATGTACAACAGTGATATCTCATGTATATCATGTGTACCTGTGTATATCCATGAAAATTTGTGTTATATATATGATATACAATGTGATATACACGGGCGTCCATAAAATAATTATGTTGTATACACGATATATAAAGTGATATACTTAGACATCCTTGAAAACCTTTGTGTGATATACACTTATGTACACGATATACAATGTGATATACACATGTCGCAGTTGGATTTTTAGGTCCGAGTTTTTACCTAAAATCAGTCTAAATCACTTCTAATCTTGCTCAAATTTTAAAAATAGCCTCGTTTAGGTATTTTCAACCAATTTCAATCACACACTCATTCAATCCAACCAAAGAAAAAGAAGAGAAAAGAAAAACATTGTTGAAATGTATTTTTTTTTAGTTTTTGCTTTTGATTTTCTCTGATGTGAGATCAACCTTACCTTTTCATCCCAATAATATTTTTGCATAATTTGTAAGAATTTTTGCTAAACTATGAGAGCGAAAGAGAAGAAATAGAAGAAGAAATACAAGGAGAAAAAGGGAGAGGGAAGCAGTGAACAAGAAGAGAAGTGAGCGGCGAAGAGGGGAAGGCTAAAAAATTACTCATCCCTGTTATGTGTTGTCACCTAGTGCCATCCCTACGCTACCGTAACACGATATCCAACACCATCTTCCCCACCTCCACTATTATAGTCACTATTCCCATTATTTTTGAACCATAAAAAAGGCCACGGTCCACCAACAATGGAAACTACTGTCCAAATCCACCATCACCATTTTTATTCATCATGTATCAGAAAGTAAAAAATATAGAAGCAAAAAGTGAAAAGGAAAAAAACAGGAAAATTTACACGGATTCAATTTCAACAATATTTCACATTCAAACCAAATTGGAACCTAATAAGAACCAAGTTAAATACACCAAAAATTCATTTTTGTAGGAAGATCAATAACCCAATTGGAGAATTGAAAGAAAACTATTTTGATACTAGGATCTCATTAATAATCGATTTTTCTTCACATTTTATATATCTAATGGCTATTTGATAATTGGGTCTTCTGAAATTGCGCCAACTTTTGTAAATATAGAAGGGTTAGCTCTTTGTGAGGGGTTTACGGTTTAATAGAAAAAAAAGGGAGACAATTATAAAATTCCACATTCAAAATGTATATCTTCAACTCAAAGCCATGTCGGCTAATCCAAATCGATAAACTATTAATTAACTAGTGAACAATATTATTACATTTTAACGTTAATCAACCATAACGCATTATTCAGTGTTCTTAAGACCAAGCAATAATCACTAATCATCATTCAAAGAATCCAAAAGTTAAATATTACGTACTACTTAACAGAGATCTAATAATCACTAATGAAGCAACTTATCTACTGAAATTGGTGTCATGAATCAGTTAAGATAACACATAAAGAAGACTCAAAATAACAAGCATTCAAGCACAGAATTATTCATCCAAAAGCAAATCCTAAGATTCATGAATTGAAAAATCCAATGAAACAAGAAAACGGACCTTCAAGCAAACTTTGTTTCAGATCCGCAAACAAAGAAGAAAGAACCTTGCATCGGAAGCCTCACCTAAACTCGAATGAGACTGGTTTGACTATGGTTTTGGACTGGGATTTTGATAACCTTATATATGGAGGTGTTTCGCGACTGATTTTCCAGGCTCCAGCAGTAACGTACACAGCTGTTTTGGGGCTGGTTTAGGGTCAGTTTTGAGCTTAGTTTCCGGGCTGTTCTAGCTGCGTTTTTGGAGCTTCATTTGAGCTGGTTTTGGGACAGTTTTTCAGATCGTTTTGGAGCTGTTTTGAGGTCATTTTTTGACGGGAGTTTGGCAGGTCGTTTTGGGACTGTTTTTATGGCTGATTTTTGGTGGTTTGATGGAGGAGTTTTGATGTTGTTTCAGCTGGATTTTAGTGGCCTGGTGCTCACTGCTGGTTTTAATGGAGGATTTGGGGCTGCTAACTCTATTCTTCTTTGGTGCTCTATATCTCTCCAAGAATAGTGGAGAAGTCCATTCTATCCCTAAAGTAAGGTGTTTTGATAACAATTACTCTACAGCTGTAAAGTCTTTTTGTCTGCTGTGGGAATATTTCATATTTGGATGACTAATTTACGTGTGTAGGTGCTGTGGGTTAAGAATTAGAAAGCAAAAGAAATTAAGTGACT